CTCATGCCAAATGCCAAAAACTCTACGATTTAACTCGAGAATCACTGCTGATTAGGCAAGACTGGCCCGGTTACTAGGCAAAGCTTCGGGTGAGGCAATTATTACTTTATAACACAAACTAACTTATTTATATAGAACAAAAATTAAAACACACTGGGACAAACAATAAGTATTTCAATCGTACTCCCCACAAACCATGTTGGTGTGATGTGCAAATTTCAGAGTATAATTCATGAATTAGTGTCTAAGCAACAATAAACAGAAAAGACTCTATTGTGGGACTAATCTTCACCATGTCTATGTATATGTTTTGTGATATACATATAACAACTAATGGAGTTTTTGATGGAACCTAACGGCATGAACCATTTGTGATCATGCATACTAACCTTGAGGACCACGAATTACAAAAAAAAAAATTAAGGAAGCAATATGATAATTTCGTAAACCTTAGGGACGTTTTGTGATAATAAGCCTCTGTGATTTGCAGCTGCAAGTTGGTTTTGCATTTGCTTTCATGACTTGGATGTGTTTGACGAGTGTTCTGGGTTTGGTAATTAAAGCATTGTTGGTGTATTTGTTAATGTTTTTTAAGTATCTTTAAGTGGAGATTAATGATGATGGCCGTGAGACAATGAAGGTTATGTGTCGTGGAAATATCGATCACAATATACCGACAATTTGTGGTATACCATATACCACAATTTGTTAGTCGGTTCACTATTTGTCTTTTTAGCATACCGCAATATATCGGTTGGTTCATGATTTAATTGAAAAGTTGCAATAACCGAATCGCAACCACCCCTAGATTAAACCACGTTGACATTATACTAGTACTAACATTATTGTAACAATTTTGGGTGTGAGTTTATTTTTTTAACCTCAACTAGCCCATTGGCACAATTTTTTTTTTACCTTAACAACCACCCCCACCACCATCCTCGTCACCATCACCCTACCACCATCTCCGCCCCCACTCCACCACCCACACCCTACCACTAGCAATCTCACCACAAATATCACATATGATGACACCACCACTACCACAAGATGATAAAGGTTAAATTACATGTTTAAATCTATTAAGCTAAACAAGAAATTTTACAAATTATGAAACATTAATTTCCATCATTTTAAATTCCATTATTTATAAATTTTTTAATATTTATAAATTTCTTCATTCAAATACATTTTTTTTTCTTTTGAATTACTTTTAAACTTTTTTTCTTTTAAAATTTAACTAGTGTTATGAGGATGTCTTCAATTTTAAGGAGGGAAGCATACTCGAAATAAAAAATAAAAAACGGTCAATTAATTCGAAATTTCAAAATTTGAAGCAATAAAAGGAAGGACACGAAAAGTTACCGCAAAAATCAGAAAGTAAGCTGCTCTGCCCCTCGCTCCAAGAATCTCTCGATTCCCTCTCTCATGGAAGAGACACAGTCCACCAACTCCCACCACGAATTCCCAGAAACCCCAATCCCTTGCAGTGATCTTGGCCCCGAAAAACACCCCAAGCAGCTCGACTATGGCGATGACAATGACGACGACGATTCGACCCTCTCGGCCCTCTGTGTTCCCGGTTCAAGACTGGTCCGGACCGGGTTTGTGCACTCCACATGCTCAGGTTTGTAACAATTGCAGCATTCTCTTTCAGTTTTTGTTTTCTTCTATTGAGTTACAGAAACCAAAAAGTACAAGTAAATCGATCATTTCTTGGAAGCTGAAGGTATAGGTTTTATGTGATGGAAAGAAATTGAAATTAGACTATGATTCTTGGCGCAATTATAAAACCGCAGTGTCTGTTAGTATGAAAATTCAAGTTTTTAAAATTTTGCATTTCTCATTTTTTTCTTTCTATTTGTTGGGTAGAATTTTTAAATGCTTGGCTGGTCATTTTTTCTTGATGTAGAACCGTATGTTCCGTCATATTAAGATTGTCAATTCGCATTGCATATGGTTGCATTCACATTGTTTTTTTTTCTTCTCTTTAACCAGATAACCTTGTGTTGTTTGTGAATGCTGGAGGGGAGGCTCTTAACGAAAATAGAAATCTCGGTATTCAAGTTGAGCCTGACAGATTTT